AGTTCGTTAACAGAGACATGGTGTATACAGTACTCGAACGTAAATTAAACTGACAAACTTGATGAAAATCACTGGTTTTTAAAGTTAAAAACCTTTGTTCTTTGGCGTTAATGTGTTCTATTATTAAAACAGGTACTGACTTTTGTATCGAAGTCTAGACCTAGGAAGGTGTGTTTATTTTTCATTCAAACATTAAGTAGCTTCTGCATTTACTAATCAAAATCTGGAGCATTTCCTGCCCAACTGGGCAAGTGTTGATCCCGGAAGTTAATCCCGCGAATTCTCTATTCAACTCCGCGAAAATAAAATCCCGCAAAAATGTCGGGTATCTTGAAATCGCGAAAATAAAATACCGCGAAAATAAAATATTCCACAGTAGTATGTTTTCTTTATTGAAATCACAGCATTCATGTCCGCATGGATTCAACTCATTGCAGGAAGTTTTACAGAGCTATATGAAAGAGGACCAGCTGAGAAGTATGTAAAGTCATGATTGCATATCCTGTCAACACTTCGAGTCAGGCCGCTGTCAAACTTTGTATCTCAGTAATTGACAGCCAGTGTAAGTTGTCTCCCTCAGCCCTTTAACGGCCAATTGAATACACAATGTGACAAAACATTAGTTCTTTTACTTCAAAACTTCTGGCAAAACACAATAGAATTTTTGAAAGCCATCCAACTACCCGTGACTTAACCAAAATCGACACTTACCGAGGGGTCACTGTAACTAGTGATGTGTATCTATAAAATACAGAATAATAATTTATCAAACTTACTCTTGGGGAAGAGTTTCTAAGATTAAATATGAATCTTTATTTACACCAACCAGATCACCAGGTTTTAACTGTTCAGCATCCACAAGACCAATAACAGGCAGAAAATAGGTCTGTTAAAATAAAGATGCAACACATAATATTAGATGGCTGTTAATAATAAGATAATTTAGTAGTTTCACAGTGTAAGACAGATTGTAGCGTAATATTGGAATACAACTAACAACATATTTTAATTATATGTCAAAATCAAATCAGTGCATTAGTTTTGTGCACATTCAAATACATGTATAAAGCAAATTGAGAATGGTCATTGAGTTAACATAACCACAATGACAATGATATCAACAACATCAAAACAAATAAGTTTTATTGGAAACTATTATGAGACATATCTGATTGTCTGAATTTGTGCTTTTCAGTGTGTTCAAATGCTGTTTCAGCATTTCATTTAAAAGTGGGTTTGTATTTCCCTTGCTAAGCTTTTGAATAGATTTAGAACATGTTACAGATTCAAAATATATAAATGTATATATAAAGAACAACTGATATGTGCACCATATTACTGGTTACAATGTTCAGAGCAAAATGTAATTACTTGTGTGAATATAAAGGCTATCCTGAATGCAAGTGGTATAAAGGTGTGTATGTTTGTATTAATAAGTTGAATTGGGATACTGAATCCTCACAGCTACAAGATATAACATGACATACTTACTTGTCTAGTGGATGTCTTTATAACAGCACATTTCCCTTTTCTTTGTGAATCTAAGTCTACATTAGCGCCATCTTCTTCAGCTTGGTCTTCTGGATCAACATCAAGTAGCTATGGCAACAACAAAAATCACAAAATTGGTCTGAGACATAAATGTTTTCCCTCACTATGGAAAATAAGACTGAGCTTCAGTCAAAAGACAAACAAATCATTATAGGCAGCATATATCATTAAGGTAGCGAGACTATTATTTGTGTTGAAAATTACGATTTTCACATTTATTTATTAATTGATGAAATGCACTATAAACTTTCATCTGATAAAGTCAACATAACATAGAATGTCATGTAAGTTGGTTAAAATGTAGATTTTCTGAAGGGGAGCATGACAGCGACAGTATGACAGCGACAGTAGTGTTTTCCAAAATCAACAACACAGGTTTAATCTGTGTGCCTATAAGTTTCAAAGATAAACTCAAGACAAAGCAATGTAAGGATGTGTTATCAGTAGCTATCTGACACACAATGAGTGTTTCCAAACATTTGAGTGGTTTGTCTCCGCCTCTGTTTGTTTCACAGATTAGTCATTTGCATATGAATGTGTCAGACACAAGGTCACACAGCCACTGAAAAAAATCATTGATTTTGGTGTTTTCATCTGCCGATTTTATTATAGCTATCCCATTCCTTTATTTTTTGGTTTCCAATAGCCTTACACATTTGGATGCCCCTACACATGTTAAAACAGACCTTAATGGGAAAACAAATTGATTGTGTCGATAAACAAGCTTGAAAATCTTTGCTGTTACTTCATTGACGTTTTCTAGGAGTTTATGTTTTTCAAAATACAAGGTCTTTAACAAAAAATAACGTATACTTATTGTCATCGGATTACCACAAAATTTTCACAGCTTTAAGGTGACAGTCAGACTAAAACAGTAATTGAAATTCAGCACACTATTTTTTAAAACGCGTTGCTTGAATAAAACTGACCAGACACATTCAATTTACCAGATTATTGAACAACTAGGAAAAGTGAAAAAAATACTTCTTATCACCAGCATAAATGCGTAATTATTTTTTTTACAGAAAAAGTAATTTTTCACCTTTGATTGAGTAACGTGTCATAGAATGCGAATGCAGATACGAGCATGACAAACACATCTTTGAAAAGCTTGAAGTCTGGCGATTCTAAAAATATATACTTTCCTGGGTCTATTTGTAGTCATTTAGTCACAATTAGAAGATGAAAACAAGTATGCAAATAATAGTCCCGCTACCTTAAGACATTACCGGTACCATTTGTTGTATGAGTGCATGCTTCGAGGTATGCTGGATTAACTGTCATTTAAATTAAAAATTAAATTAAATTTAAATTTTTTTCAGAGTCATGATTTCTCAGTTTGCATAGAACTCAGGCCAGCCATATAATAACATATAGGATAAGCACCAAATATTGCAGGCTCTCATTTGATTCGGGGTAGGAAGAAAGACAGTTGAAGTTAACTACCGGTACCTTGTCTCTAGGATGCCTGGACTCTTAAATTACAACACTTGATTGATTGATTTATTTGGAAAGACTTACGCCACAAGTCCCATTTACAGGCTCCACACACACACATCAAAATACAATAAATATATACTAATCAAGCACATTCTACTATATTAATATTATCATACAGACAAAGATACAAATACTAATCAAGCACATTTTACTATATTATTATTATCATAGACAAAGAATCAAATACTGTCTACGTTAACAATGAAATGTATTCACACATGACAAATACTGCATTCAATAATTGAAAAAATTATATCTTACCTCAATCACATTGGATACCAAATAAGGTAAAGTTTTATTGACTTTGATTTTTTCTGTATTCTCTTTTATTTTCTCCTTCTGTGCTTGTAACTCATGCGATATACGCATGGTTTCACTCTTCATTATCTGATGGATAGAGTAGCATGTTAACATATACTATAAAATTTGTATTAAAGCAGTGATAATGCAACAGAGCTTCTACAATTATGAAAAATCATGAATTTTTGGGTTTCAATTATTTCAAAAGAATGGGTTCAACTTCTATTAGAGAGATGTGGGTTCTAATACATATTTTACAGTATAAACTGAAAAAGTACATGATATCTCAGGTCTAAGATGCAATGAATAGTTGATTTTTTAGACCAACAAGCTGCAATGGTTGAGTCAAAGCAAAGCGATTTACAATATTGTACCTGATTGGCTACTCAACCATAACACCTAACAGTAAGACCAATGGGAGATCAGTTTGTTTGTCAACAAGTTTTTTTTCAACTTATCAAATTCTGCCTTGTATATGTGCTTTGACTCAACTGTAATAATTCCTATTTTGTTTCAGTTTTTGTTAATCCAAGTAAGACTGAGCTAAATAAATACATAGAGGGTACAATCATAGGTTGTATAGGATGTACATAGAACATATACCTCGGTAACATACCTTGATTTCATTGTCTAAGAGTCGGGTTCTTTGAATTATTTCATCTGTTGACATGCGCAATACCTCCTCACCAACAGATTCCTATAAACAAAAATATTATGTACAGAATTAGCTGGGAGTACATAACCTGAATAGACCATATGTATGTGATGTGACCGGGCAAAAAATAATTATTTTTGGAAAAATATGTTGTTTATTGCATGAAGAGCACAATAATTCCTGAAGGCTGATTAGATTACTACTGTAAAATACTTTATTTTCGCTTGGGATTAACTTTCACTATTTTCGCTGAAGGAATGATTCAGTGAAAATAAAATCCAGCAAATTTACCTTTTTTTTTATGTTTTACATTCAAAAATAAATTCCATACAAAACCCCCAAAAATTAATTTCAGCTAAAAATAAAGTATTTTAAAGTATATGGCAATGTACAGAGATGCTTCAAAACAATAAATTTTATTTCCAAATGTTTTCGACAAGTGATATTTTCACAGCACCAAGGTTAAAATACGACCCCTGAGTCACGGATTAACGCACACCACAGTTAGTTGACAATATCAGTGTTTATGTTAATGCGGTTTATAATAGCAGATAAAACTTCCATTAACTCTGCGTAATGCTCGAGACAATAGAATTATAAATTAGAAGAACAGAAAAATAGCTGCTTGAACATTTTGCTGAGAAGTTGCTTTGCATGGAATTCAAATGTCTACTAACTATATGATTTAGACTTAGTTTAATTGAAACAGAATTGGCAGTCTCATACAATTCAGAACGTACTATCTACTATGTGTATGACAACATGCTACTGTTGATTTGGTGTTTTGAATGGATTCAGGATCCATCATCGTGGAATGACTAAGGGATTCTTCGAACCAATAACAAATGTATAAATTTTTGGTCAGCAAATACCAGAAGAGACGGAAGTGAATAAATAAAATCAAACCAATTCATTTATGAATATCAACATTATTTATGTCCCTTAAAAAGTTTTAGACAATTACCTCCCCGTCTTCCCAAATCGCCTTGTCTTCCAAAGTCTGCGCCATCTTGGAAAAGTGTTTGTTGTGAAATTGTATTTCCTCCAATGAGGAACTGTGAGGGCGTATTTCCTGAACATTTTGAATAGCGCAAGCGCAGAAGCTTATTCTTATTTGGCACAAGCGTGGGGTAAACCATTTATAACAAGGGGAAGCCTGCTGAGGAAATCGGGAAATAAACAAAACAAATATTTGGGTGGGCCATTTAATAACTGCCGTAAGCATTTGTTTTCAGTCCAACTCGACATTATATATCTGACATTGCTAACACTTGGGGGATGGAGAGTTTACTCCCGATCCATCATCACATTTACGAAATATTTGGAAAATACATGTATGAAGAATGTATTTATTATTCGTTCACATCGACGAAATAAGATAACATGTAAATTGTGATATCTTGTTCCGGTCATGCGATAAACATCCAAACCAAAACATTGCCACTTTGTACGTAATTTGCATGGCATTGCTGATAATAGATGTTCCTCTATAAAAAATAACTTCGAGACGAACGTCTTAAAGCGCGGAAGTCGTCGCGCAGCGCGTGTTCGAATTTCATGTAAATAAACAATGTATTTTACACGCGTTGTATACGTCGCTATGAGTCCCACATCGAACAGGACGCGGCACGACGACCGCCGCCCTTTAAACATAGAGATGCTGAATTGTTCGAGTTACGGACATCGAGATGTGAACACCGAGTTACACAAATGACCACGCCCATATTTTAGAAACCATGCCCACTCTTGGGACACCACGCCCAAATTATAACTCGATGTTAGAATAAGAGTTAACGGAACTTCGAGTTACGGACAATATATATATTTGTTAGTGTTGAATGTCCACATTTAATAACTCGAACATTAATGGACAGTTAACAGTCACCTGCAACATAGATTTGTAGAGCACTTTATGAGTTATGTGACAAATACCAACTAGAAAATGAATATCACATTATATTGAGATGCTGAATTGTTCTATTTACGAAAATATTGAGTTACAAAAATGACCACGCCCATATATTTGGAACCTTGAATTAACAACTAACTGAACTTTGAGTTACGCGCATTATATATTCCTTGTTTGGTTTATGTTGCACGTATGTTCACAAAAGTGGGAGTGGTTTTGACAATATAGGCGTGGTAATTTTTTTTTAACTCGATGTTTTCACAACTCGATTTCGTATCTCGATGCCCGTAACTCAATGACCAATCACCCCATAATCTGGTGTACATACCGACCAATTTACAATTTTACTAGGTATACATACCACCCGATGTGCAATCACCCCAACTTCCATGCGTACATACCATCCAGGCCCGTATTTGGGGGGGGGGGGGGGTTCGAGGGGTTCAGTCGAACTCCCTAAATTTTGGAAAAGAATACAATTATGAACGCAGACTAGTAAATATTAAAACAAACATTAATAATTAAAATAATTATCATTGTTTAAAACACTTGACTCAGTGAGGTAATATCGTGACGTTATGCCTGCTTTGATTGGCTGGTGATGAGCTGAGTGGCTGAACAACAGCCGATCATAAAAGTTGTTATAAATAGGCCAGCATTTATTCGGAGATGGTGTAACGTGTATCGCGTTCAAGCAGCTGCTGTCAAGTATTAAGACTGGTAAACTTATTTACAAATATTTGCAAACAGTAATCTAACGGTAGTCTTTCTCAGAAGGAAGTGTTGTGGCCCTACATAGGGCCGTTTGTTGGATGCGAATATTTACTCAGTTAGTACAGTGTGTGAATTGAAGTGGGTTGATCGACCCCGTCATTTTTCTACCCAGGGAAGGGTCTCTGAATAAAATATGGTACGCAAACTGTAAAAAAAACGCGTAAAAGTGGTGTTATTTAGTCATTTGACGCTTATACCGTGATTGGGGTCGAATATTCTTAAATGTAACTTAGAATATAGCAATAAAGTGTGAAAAAAGCAATCTCATGAATTCATGTGACCTCAACTTGGAAACAGTATGATTTTAGTATATATATAGGATATCTATTTTCTGCACTTGAAAAGGAACATAATTTCACAAAAATAAGTACGTGTTTAGAGGCTTTTTAAAAAGCTATACTTCAGCATGGGTACCAGGTCTGACTTGGAGTACCACCCCTGGGTTTTTCTAGCACAGCATAACACTGTTTAATGCGTGCATTACATTTGTCACTCACTAGTCGACGGGTGACCAGTCGACTTCGGTTGCGATCCCATTGCAATCGAATTCGACGGGAGCGTTGCATAGGTCAAATAGACGTACAACGATGTGAGGGAGGTCATTGAGTTGCGTTTAAAAAAAAAAAAATACGACCAGACTGTTAGTATTGCTGCCAAAATTGTTTTCACGCCACGCGTTGCAAGGAGTCAAACACAATGCACAAATGGAACGGCAAATTCACCTGAAGAATATTACAGGCTGAATGTAGCTATTCTTTTTCTTAGCCACCTATGCAGTTATCTGAATGAACAGTTCACAGGCACAAAGTCTAACTTATATTTTTTAATATAATTTAAGGATATGCAGAGTAGAATATGTCCAGTCCCTGCATCTGTTTCAATGGAATTGTACTTTCTAAGTTTGATACATTAGTTTTGAATTCTTCAAATTAAAAATATTGTCATTTTTTTCACATATATGACATATCATGACATTACAAGGATGAAAATGAAATGAAAATATGGGGTCACCATCAGATCAGAGAAAATCGATCAACAAAATACAGAGAACAAAAAATATATAGTATCTTACACATTACTTTTTGAGATCTTTAATTTTTAACAAATTGATATGAACCAAACAATTCACATGCTGTTGACTATAAAAACTATAAAAACTAGTGAGTAGAATTCTACAATAAAAATGATGCTAGAATACGTCCAATCTTGTTCTTTTTGTGTACAACAATTTGTAGTAGTGGATCTAGGGTGTGCGTGTCCGTGGGGAGAGATGGCTCAGGAATCCCTCCCAAAAATGGTAAAATATTTCAAAAACGTTAAGTGTAATAACTTTAAAAAAGAGTAAAACAAAGCAAGCCAGTTAAATTTTAATACTGGGAACATAAAAATGTCTGTAACAGAGCTCGAAGATTCCATAGAATTCACACTTTTTTTTCTTTTAAAATTCGCATGTTTCACATCAAATATACCGGTATTATTATGTTCGAAACCCTATTCAAAAGTACTGGCAACGGGCCTGCCATCCAATATCCAATCACCCCACATCCATGTGTACATACAACCCAATATCTAATCCCTTCACATCCATGTGTACATACCACCCAATATCTAATCCCTTCACATCCATGCGCACATACCACCCAATGTCCAGTAACCAACTTCCATGTGTACATACAACCCAATATCTAATCCTTTCACATCCATGTGCACATATCTCCCAATGTCCAATCACCAACATCCATGTGTACATACCACCCAATGTCCAATCACCAACATCCATGTGTACATATCTATCCAATGTCTAATCATCCTACATCCATGCGTACATACCACCCAATGTCCAATCACCAACATCCATGTGTACATATATATCCAATGTCTAATCATCCTACATCCATGTGTACATACCACCCAATGTCCAATCACCAACATCCATGTGTACATATCTATCCAATGTCTAATCATCCTACATCCATGCGTACATATCACCCAATGTCCAATCACCAACATCCATGTGTACATACCACCCAATGTTCAATCACCAACATCCATGTGTACATACCACCCAATGTCCAATCACCAACATCCATGTCTGCACAGCACCCAATGTCCAATCACCAACATCCATGTCTACATGCCACCCAATGTCCAATCACCAACATCCATGTGTACATACCACCCAATGTCCAATCACCAACATCTACGTGTACATATCCATCCAATATCTAATCATCCTACATCCATGTGTACATACCACCGAATGTTCAAACACCAACATCCATGTGTACATACCACCCAATGTCCAATCACCAACATCCATGTGTGCGTACCACCCAATGTCCAATCACCAACATTCATGTGTACATATCTATCCAATATCTAATCATCCTACATCCATGTGTATATACCACCCAATGTCCAATCACACATCCATGTGTACATATCCATCCAATGTCTAATCATCCTACATCCATGTGTACATACCCCCGAATGTCCAATCACCAACATCCATGTGTACATATCTATCCAATGTCTAATCATCCTACATCCATGTGTACATACCAGCGAATGTCCAATCACCAACATCCATGTGTGCATACCACCCAATGTCCAATAACCAACATCCATGTCTACATACCACCCAATGTCCAATCACCAACATCTATGTGTACATATCCATCCAATATCTAATCATCCTACATTCATGTGTACATACCACCGAATGTTCAAACACCAACATCTATGTGTACATATCCATCCAATATCTAATCATCCTACATTCATGTGTACATACCACCGAATGTTCAAACACCAACATCCATGTGTACATACCACACAATGTCCAATCACCAACATCCATGTGTGCGTACCACCCAATGTCCAATCACCAACATTCATGTGTACATATCTATCCAATATCTAATCATCCTACATCCATGTGTACATACCACCCAATGTCCAATCACCAACATCCATGTGTACATATCACCCAATGTCCAATCACCAACATTCATGTGTACATACCACCCAATGTCCAATCACCAACATCCATGTGTACATATCTATGCAATGTCTAATGATTCTACATCCATGTGTACATACCACCCAATGTCCAATCACCAACATCCATGTGTACATACCACCCAATGTCCAATCACCATCATCCATGTGTACATATCCATCCAATATCTAATCA